ACATAGATTATGAACTTATTCTTTGTTCTTAATATTCACGGGTTTCACATAACACATGGTCGAGGTTGTAAGTTTTGTGTTATTTATAATCCAAGGAAGGTAAAGAATTAACTTATTGTGTCCTTGCATGTTTGTTTGTGTTACTGAAGTAATTATCTTTAAAGTTAATGTTATAAACATTGTAGTTTTGCACTCATATAATCTGAATTCTCAATACAGATCTAAACACACATTGAAGGTAAATTTGTGGATAGACTCTGTTGATTATGGTATTTAAGTTATTCAAGATTCGTGAGTATGAGACTGTATGACGGAGAGATCATTACTTGTAGCTTTGGGATGTCATAGTTCAGTGATCTGGATAGATGTAGTTGTGGAATGTTTTTTTTTTTTCTTTATGGTAGAATCTATAAAGTTGTTGAAGGAGGAGTTAAGTTAAAATAAATTTTAATCTGAGTAGCTCTTGCTCTAAAAGTTCACAAGAAATGGTGATACATTGTACACAGGCCATAATATATTTCACAAGGTTTTTTTGAAACTAAGTGAAACAAACCTTCAAAGTGAGTTTATAGTCATATTGAAAATACTTGGGATGGGACAACATTACATTTACTTAGTGCATGCTGAGCATTGCTTGAACTGTTCATGAACCTAGGATTAGTGTTTTTTTTTTAAACAATCTTCAAGTCTTCTGACAGTTGACCTTATGTAAGAACCCCCACATGTAGGGCAATGAAATTCATAAATGACCTGTGACTGTTGGATGAATTCCAATTGTTTAAAAAGTTAGCTAGGTGTGTAGATTGAAAAAGATTCATAAGTACATAGTTATAACCATTACTCCCCTCTAAAAACTGTGTTTAGAGGCAGAATAATCAATTGATTACTTGGTAAAATGACATTTCAATGGGATTTGCATGTGCTCATGCTCTAATCACCCACAGGACATTTATTCTTAGCACTCATGGACTTCTTGGTCCACATATCCTGTTGGGTCAATGTCTTTTTAGTCATGCTGCCCTTTCTTGCCATTCCTATAACAATGGCCAACATACTTAACCTTTGACTTAGATCAATTTCTTCCACTGCTGTCATGTTGTTGCATAAATTTCCTGTTCCAGTAGAAAGAAATGGTATTAAGACTGCAAAACTAGGTCTTATACATGAGCCATAGGAAATATCAGAACTATCCTAAAAACTGATGAAGCAATATCCCTTATGTTACATGAATCAGTGATCAACACATCTCATCCATGAGTTCTGCTATGTTGAATGTCAGACCAGCACCTGGAGCCTTGGGATTGGACTTCAGTGTTAGCTCTTTGTAGAAGAGAAAGTCCTGGACTTATTGGTAGTCTTAAAATCCACTGAAATTTATAGTCTTTCATTAGAGATCTCCTTCTAGTTAAAAGTTTAATACTATCTTTGGTGCTATTTACAATGTTTCACCATGTAGATGTTACTTCACACCTCCCCTTTTACATGTATGGCTTGCATTTTCATGTGGTTTATACTGCACCCTGTACTGAAAGTTTCATGAAAATATTTAGAAAACTGTGTTTACTAAATATTTGAAGCTGCATGATCAAAAATATTCTACAACAACCAAATGAAACACTGAGTACACTGACTTTGTATTTTTTATGACATTTAAGCAACTTTCTGTGAATTTATATATTCTTTATAATTTTACCTACTCAAACATTGTGATTTGATCCATTCAAAATATCTTGCACTGTTCCTATAAAAACTCAATAGGTAAAAATGTATTTTTCTTACATTTAATGTGGGTCTCTATTACTTTCATCTTACCATGAAAATTCACTTGCTGCTGAATATTTCAGTGTTAAAATTTAAACATTCTCTCACCAGTGTTAATTTATTATATATGGGCTCAATAATTTGAACTGACCTTGCAACCACCTGGTAATAGTAGTAACTGTACCTTCTTGAAATTAAGCAAGCTTTTAGTAATCATTATAAGTCTTTTGTCCACAAAAAAATCAGATATTTTAATGAAGTGTTTTTGTTAGAGTTATCCATGAACTTATGGATCCATAATCTGAGTGTAAAGTGATTTTTATGTTAAGTTTAGAAATGGTATTTCGTCTTAGTTTTCATGTTTTATTTGCATAACCTCTAGAACTTCCTAAAAAAATATCAAAATGTTTTTTCAGTAAACTGTATTTTCTTTTATTTTGCTTTTCCATGACATTGTATACGGACATGGTCCACTTGACCAACCTTATAACCACCACGTAAAATGAAAAATATGAAATATAAATTACCCTTTTTTTTTTCTAGAATGACTGCACATTGTAAAAGACTATTTTTCTAACATCCATAGCTAATAGGTTTTTCATTGTTTTATTTCTTTACAGTTGCACATAAACTCTCAGGCTACAGAGGTAGCTGTTTATTATTCTGGCTAGCTTTATGTAAAGAACAGAACCAGTTACCAGCATTCTCATGTCAAATTACACAATCATGCTCAAGCTTTGTATATATTATTATTGATCACAAGTATTTTATTTATTTAATTTTATATACCTTTCTGTGTCTTACCTAATAAATTTCTGATCTGTTTTAGTTATTTTCATAGTAATGAAAAAAAACATAAAAAAAATGTGAGATTTAGTACTGACATCTCAAATCTTGTCTTTTTCAAGCTTAAGCACCCATATGATATTAGACAATGACAAAGATTAGCCCTAATTCTTAATTATGATAATGTGGCCCCTGAAGTTTGTTTTTATTAAAATAACAACTTTATAATATGAAGTATTGCCAGGGATCTAAAACTAAATTTATCTGGTTATAAATTGCTTACAAAAATTCCATATTTGGTCAGAGTTCTAACAGTGATAAACAAAGAAAATGACACTAAAATGTTTAACTCTTCTTAGTCTAAGGTCTTTATACCCCATAGCTGTCATTAGCTTGAAAACTTCAGTTTTTGTTGTTTACAAATAACCCAGTAGCAAATGTTAGAAAGACTTTATGACAATTTTTAGCCATGGCTTTGAGTTTTTGAAGTACAAACTTTTAGCTCATAACTCCGTCATCTCTTGACTGATATGAGACCCAATTACAGCTTTGGACTCTGGAGGTCAAACCCTTTCGATTAATGTATTTGACTGTGCCCATGGTATCAAACATTAATTTACTCTAATCCTGCCTAAATGAATTGGTAGAGATCCTGATGAGTAATAAAATCAAATTGGATATATGTGGGCTCCATGCTTGGTATTGCTGGCTCAAAAAATATAGCTAATAAAAAGGTCTCAGAGTAATTTACTCTAATCTTGCCTAAAAGAATTTCAAGTGCCGCAGCTATTGAGGATTCCTTCATGTTGAAAGTAGGATGTTGTATGAGGGGCATGGCATGTGACTTTCAGTATATTGCTTACATCTCCATAAAGCAAAAGGCTTTGTTGGTACGAGTTAGCAGCATAGCTTGGGAATATGTATAGTATAACTATGAAATTCCAAAGAAAGTTATGTCGTCATATAGGAGTAAAGAAGTATCATATGATACAGACAATTGGAAGTTGAGAATTTATATAAATATTTTCTGTTGAAATTAAGAAATTAAATCTTATATAATAGTAAAATTTGAATTGTAGACTATGTTTCAATGCCAAGTTTATTGATATATATTGATAATAGTTTAGTTATATTTTGAAGGTAACTTTAAAGAGGTCATGACCTGCAAATTTTGACCCACCCATACTCACAGAATTAATGAAAATGACAGGTACACTACATTTTTCAAATAATACCCTACAAGCCAGTGCTCACATTTAACTTCATGTTGATAAGTCTTAATGTCCAGATCAAACTGTTATTTCCATTTACATGTAACTTACTAATTGTGTAATTGATTTTTTTCTGGTATACAACACTTATAAATGATTCATATAATGTTCGTACATACACGTGGGATGCAAGTATCTATTTCTACACTTATATTGCCATATACATGTATTTTCAATCTATTTTGTCACATACACAAATTGCTGACAACGAACTGTGTCTGGTTATTTATCAAAGCTACTGCTCAGTAGCTGTGGTTTGAAGTGCTAGCATATAAGAGCCATCAATTCAACATGTTCTTTTTTTTTATCAGGCATAATAAAATAAATTATCACCAAAAGATTTCAGCTAAACTAAGACCTTTTATGTAAACATCTCATACTGTGGATTTAATATTCTTGCTGCAACTATAGTGAGTTCAGAAAGTAAGGGATGAAATGCTTTTAATTTTGTGATCATCAAGCCATTTTAACTTCAGATAATCAAGTGGTAATTATATGATGTCATACACACACATTGTACCTCATGGTACCATACATTTGCTTCAGAAAGCAAGTGTTGCAACACCTCTTCAACTGAGTTTTCTAACTCCTAGCTATCATCTTCAATAATGCAAACTGTTGATGTACTAGGTATTACATCTTACTTCATCTACCTTAGCACTTATATGATCTTGACCCCCCCATTCATCCATACTGGAACCTGGCCATATCTATACCATAATCAGATGGTAGGGAGAGGAAAAAGGCTAGGTTGGAGAGTAAGCTGTGTTGGCTGTTGTATGTCAAGGATGATGGAGGGCATCACAGCTAAAGGTATTAGTCTGTAAATGATATAAGGCATGAGTACATGCAAAACCCAGTAGAAATGTGGTTTGACCAAGGTACACAGTAATGATATAACCTCTAAAGGATTTCAGAGCCATTGGTTGTTGTAACCAAGTGATTATGACCATTTGGAATCCACATAACTAACTTAACATTTGATCAATTGGAATTCATCTGACCTTATGTTTTCAGTCTGGACATTCACTCTTTAAGAATAAAATCTGACCATTCTCACTCTCTTTGATTTCAACCAGCCAGTGTTATCTTGCATTGTTGGTGATTTTCAGGGTTTTCTCTGAATTGCATGATGGAATGCCTATTTGATGACAACCAGTACATTGAGGATTTCTTCCACAGAAAAGAAGCAAGCTATGCCAGTGATCCTCAGACTCCTGGAGCCAGCCTAATATTTACCATGGCAGATTTCCTGAATAAAGATGCATTACCAAGCAATGCATCAGACATGGGAAAGCTTACTGCATCCATCATTGGGTTGGCCCTGAAGTCTCCTGGAGCTGAGTAGCCCCCATCAGCAGTGGTAGGTGCCATGAAGTTCAAGCCTCAACTGGACGTACTGGTCATAAAGAAAGTAACACCAGCCACTTCTTCATCAGTTCCAATTGTCCCATTGAAGGGTGCTATGCCAACACACATTGATGTCACTAGGTGTGTTTTCATCTCCCATGTCCACACACTATTCCTAAGCCAAAGAAAACCTTTTCTTAGCTTGGGTCCTTTTAAGGGTTGACCAGGTTGAGGTGGGATGGGTTCCCAGATGATGAGGACTGTAGCTGAAGTTCAGACCACCAGTACACTGATGCAGATGAGCCAATCAGCACATGGCCATGTTGTGAGTATGCAGTCAATGAGGGGGCATTAACATAGAGGACAAAAATGACAACCATCTTGATCATCACTGGAGACAACATCTAAGATGTTGACAACCAATGTTAATGTTTTTCATTGTTTCTAAATCCAAGGTACATATCACAATGAAAATAATGTGAGTATATGTAGTAAAAGTTTTACTTAATAGCAGTTTTTATTTAATATAATAAGCAACATTATGCAAGAACAAATTGAAAAACTTAACACTTGAGTCAGTTGAGTGGTATAATACTATTATGCAGTATCACAGTCAGTGGCAAACATGTTTGCATACAGTAACATCTGTGTCTGTGCCAGTTACAATAGCCTTTATGAGTATTACTGTACATTTTAATGGCTTAACATTATAATGCAACTATAGATGATGTTTACCTAGTAGGTCTGATTCCATCTATGAAGTGTCCTGTATGTATAACTAAAATTTACAACTTATGTACTTGTAAGTATAAATAATTAATGATCTTGAAATCTTGTGAATAAACAAAACTTGCATATATCTATAAATATATGGTCATGTTAATTCAAAGGTTTCAGTACTTTTGACCTAGATGAATTTGATAGTCACAGTTTCAAAGCATGTACAAAAATAATAAAATGTGGTCTAGAAGATTTTATTTACATGCGCAATTGTTTTATACATATTGGTCATTAGAGTTTACTGCAATGTGTTGTTAATATTTGAAAGTTTTATACATTTTTATGCTTGTATGCATATCAGAAAATGTTGTTTTGATAAATTTTTGAGATATTAAAAGCATACTTTTAAAGAATGTTCCATTTTACAACAGTGAACATCAACATGTTAGTTCTGTTTTTTAAAAGTCAAACTTAAATCACAGTTGTTAAATTCTATAATGTTGTTCATACAATAATAACATTTTTGTGATTTTACTTTAGATTAAAAAGTGTGATCAGTACATACTTTCATAAACAAGTGGACAAACTGCCTTTGTTATGTATGTTATGGGGGGTTTGCAGTTATTAATATTTTCAATTATCCAAGTTTCATATGAGAATATTCAATTAATTGAATATAAATGGTTAATGAGTCCAATGATTAATTCCATTAATCACCCATGTTTTCCTGAAACTTTTTCTTTTTTACAAAACCAAAATGCATTAAAATACAAAATATATGTACCAAAAACACTTTACCTGATTGTGTTATTGCTTTCAGTATACTCACGGTTACTTATGAAATTATGAGCTTGTACTACTTTTGTAATTTTAAACGTATCTTATGTTTACAATCCTTTATAATTTTATGGGTAAAATATACCAAAATGTATAAATGAAAGTCACTGCTATATTTCACTACAGGGCTTGAAATTAGTAGTGGCTAGCTGACAAAAAGCCAGTAGGTTCTAGTGTTTAGCCAGTGACCATAAAGGGACCCTGGTATTTTTTACCAGTTGATACCCAGAACTTTCAAGATTTTTAATTCATGATTATAACAATATAACTCTGTTTATATAGTTATCCAATTTTTTGTAATTATTTTTTGTTAATTAATTTTGTATAATGTTGTCTCAGAAACATATCCTGAAATTATAGCAACACATGAAGATAAATTGATAACAGCATTAAATTTTGAAAGTATTATTGATGGAGTGGTGCAGTCCTATAGCATAATAAGAATAATTTTATAAAATTTCAAAATTGTGGCATATAAGTATATAGTATTCCTATGGGCTGTTTTAATAATAGCTATCATGACAAAATCAGAATACATTTATAAAAACTTTCAAATCAACTTTTTTTATGACTAATGAATTATGTGGAGAAATATAGTTGGTATTTAGCCTTGTACAATGGAAACAAGTTTATAATAACATAAAAATCAAGATTTTTAATTTATTATAGATTACACTGGCAGACAATTGAAACATAATATTGTACAATAAAAAATATCATTATATTGTGTTTTTAATGCATCTTGATATATGTTGATAAACCTGATAGTTAACAAAAGTAGAGACATAAATTTATATAACATCAAAATTGGGATTTTTTTATTTGTATTATAGGGGAAAAAATAGATGTATATATGTTTGTTAGTGTGTGGTAGGTTATTAATCAAATGTTTATGTGTTATGACAAACTGTAATAAAATGAAAAAATGTACACTGCAATAGAAAAGTATTGTTTATCTGCAATTTACAACAAATTCTGAAACATTAAAAAAAGAATGCATTGAATATGATCAACAAAGGAAAAGAACCAGACATGAATGAATAAAAAAAAATCTTAATTCTTATGTAAATGTTTATATCTGGTATTTATCTTGCACTAGCCAACTTCTATGTTAGATGACTCCTATTGACTGCTGGAGCAGGTGTGAAGCATATCTGCACCAGTTAAAGACAGGAATAAAAATAATAATGACACCACACTTTCCAGGCAGACTAACATTTTTCATAATTCCACCTTACCTGGTTATTCTTCTTACACATTCAAGGGATCTACCCCCTCCACCCCAGCTCATACCAACTTGTAGAACTATCTGTATCACTCCTTCGAATGGATACAACCTCACTTCAGGAGTATGTCACTGGAACAGGTTCATAAAAATATCAGGCTTATTAAACAATAAATGTTTTGTTTAATCTTTCTCTATGCACAATATTGCAATTTTTTAGGATAGTAACTTATTAAACACTGAACACCTCCACGAAATTTAAAAAAATTACCACAATAAACCTGGATAAAGATATCTTCTTTACTAGTTGTAGAAAGATGAAATGTTACAGTTTTCCTGTAGTCGCATAATTGGTGCAAAAGAAACAAAAGTTAATGGATTACATTTTAGCTAAGGCTACTTAATGAATAAAAAACGTGCAACAATAATCACATGTATAATGGTTTAACAATAAAAACTGTGTGTAATTTATGTGCTACTGAGTATTTTAAGCATTTTTCATTGGATCTGTTTGTATATTTTTCTAACCATATTCTGCCTGTTTGTAGACTGTACATTTATTGTTTGTGTCAGTGAACAGAAGAGTTTTATCATTAACAGAAAAGGTCACTTGCAGTGTATAATTTGTTTTTTTTAATTATGTAAATTTAAATTACCATATACATTGAGTAGACACTATTTAATTTTTTTCTTTTCCAGAGTTCATGACTAAATTATGACTGACTTAGAAATGATCAAATGGGCAGAAACTTAAACCATTATTAAAAGCAGAGTTTTACCATTAACGGAAAAGGTCATTTGCAGTGTATAGTTTATTGTTTTTTTTAATTATGTAAATTTAAATTACCATATACATTGAGTAGACACTGTTTAATTTTTTTTTTCTTTTCCAGAGTTCACGACTAGATTCATGACTGACTTAGAAATGATCAAATGGGCAGAAATCTTAAACCATTATTAAAAGCATCATGAAGTGTTCTTCTTTATAACAAACATTTGTAGAAGAATTTGAATAGAAAACTGAAACATGGCTGGGTTTCTTTATCTTTTATTTTGTATGTAAAACAAAAAAATAAGTTTGATGAGCTGTTAAACTTATGAGAAGTTATTTTATGTAATCACATTGTATGATGAAGAAACGACTATAAATTTCAGAACAAGGTTATATTTATTTCACTCTGTATTTCATTTTTACAACTCTTTCAGGAGTTACCTTTTACTTACATTGCTAGATTAACAATGACTAACAGACTGTACTCTCCTAAGTTTGTTCTATAAAATGATGAAGATTAGGGAACTAGGTTACATGGATAGTATCATTTACATTGATAAGAAACAATAATATAAAACTACAACTGTTTCTTGTGACATGAATGAAGTTATGCTGTTTAAAATTATAGTGAATAAAAAATCATTTGAATATTGATGTAAAAAGTAGTACAGAACATAAACAAATGTAAATTAAAAGAAGAAAAGACTGAAAATGAAATTTTTAATGTGGGGGAAATAAGTAAAGAAGTATGATTATAATGCTCATCCTCATATTGCAGTTGATTTGTGGCTTAAATTTTGAAATTATTAAGGATTTGTATTTACAGTAAAAACATCATTAGCTCTGTAGCAAGGACTTTTATTTGTAGCAGATACTCAAATTTTGGTCTTCTGTGTTTTCCAATATAGTGGTCTGCTACGGCAGTGGTACCTTTCTTAAGTTGATTTAAATTTCTCATGTGTTCAACAAACTTGGTGTGTAATGCATGAGACATTTCTTCAATGTAAAATGTATAAGTAAAAGAAATAATCTTTTTATTATGCATTTATCCCCTGCTCCTGCATATTTAGTGAAACATTTCTTTTTCTTATAGCCATTATCTGGATTGTATGCTGAGCATTTTAATATTTGTTTTAAGGTTCTGTCTGATTTTTGTAAAAGTCTTATAAGTAAACCTAATTTTCATATAACTAATTGTAAGTCCCTTTTAAATCTTTCATTAATGTATGGGATAGTCAGTCACAAATTTACTTGTGTCATCTTGTTTGCAAGTAGTTGAAGTTCCCCATTTTAACTTTTTATAGCACTTTTAATTACAACAGAGATAAAACTATCTGAGGAACTATTTAGTTTGAGCATGTGTCGTTGATATTTTAGTCCTTTGAGTATTTTTTTCTTTTTTTTTACATGAGTATGGTTACCTGAGTGTAGGAAGACCACTTTTGAAGAGGGCTTTTTGCATACATTTGCTATTAGTTTAATTTCTTAATAATCAAGAATACCAAGAAAACTGAATTGGCTACTTCTTGCCAAATGTTCTAGAGTAAAAATTACATTTGTTTGTAAGCTATTTAAATATTTGTGAAATGTTTCAAGTTTATGTACAATGGAAAGCCGTGTAAGAAAAATATCATATATACACCTTGATAACAACATATTTTTGAACTTCTTTTTAGAGCCATGATATTAGTGTATTGTTTGTAATAGATGCTGGAACACTAGCAAAACCTACTGCAAAATTGTTCCCCATAGCAAGTCCTTTCTTTTAGTCTGCAAATATTTTTGCTGAACTGCAAATAACTATTAGTCAGAATAAAGTGGAGACATTATTCTAAAATTTCCAGAGGAATACCAAAAAGATTCAGGTTTTTATTTTCTTATGATATTCATTATTGCTGATAATTCTTCATTGAAAGTTATTTATGGGTAGAGAAACTATGGCTAGGCTGAAAAGCAGTAAGTTTTGCTGGACTGGTAAATTTTCTAGCTTACGTAGATTAGCCAAGAAAGAGTGTTTCTTATCTAGTGGATACAGTTGGTTTGAGTGGCATGTCTTCCTTGTGGTTTTTTAGTAAGCCATATAAGTGTGGTTTACTACTGTGATTTAGTTTCAGTGGTTCCAGTAATTTTTTGAGTATCTTGCTTTTACTTTCAAGTTATTAAAACAAAATTTTAGTTTTAATTTTAACATTAAAAGTTGGATTTTGTGTGAAAGGTAAATGTATCTGAATCACTTAAAATAGTTCTAACTCTGTTAACTTAGGATGGGTATTATAATCATAGTTCTTTGGTTATTCCCTTATATTTAACTTCACATTTTAAATCTTTTCTTCTTTTAGTTTACTTTACATCTGTGTATTCTACATTCCATATCTCTCTTTTTTTCACATCAATGTTCAAATGAATTTCACTATAATTTTATACTGAACATCTCTATTCTTGTCATTTTAAAATGGTGTTCCTACATAGTTTTCCTGTTTTCAATGTAAACAGTATTACCTACATGACTTTGTACCATACCCTCCATTGTTCTGTAGAACAAATTAAAAAATCTATAGTCTGTTAGTCATTGTGAGTCTAATAGTGAAGTAGAAGGTCACTGCTGAAAAAGTTGTAGAAATGAAATGTTGAGAGAAAAAAAATGTTTTGAAATTATGGTCGTTTTTTTTTTTTTTGTGACACAAAATATGTAAGTTACTCCAGTCAGCACTTTATTGTATAACTTTAATTTTCATTATAAATTAATATAATTTTACTTTAGTTTCATCTTTTGTAGCTATTCATTAGGAAGTTGTAATTATAATACAGAGCAACAAATTAACAAATAAAAACAATCGTTTATATTCATTAATATGTTGTCAGGAAATGTGAAACTAAGTAAAATTAAGTATGTTCAAATTACCATACAGTGTTATAATTCAAAACTATTTCAGATCAGTACTAAGAAAGAGCTCTGTTATTTGTGTTGATTTGTTCAATATCAGTATACTGAAATTTTTCACAGTATGCATTAAAAGAATCAGTAGTGACAATGTAAAAGTATGGTTTCTTTCAGTTAAATCTTGTTTCTTTTGTAAATTCTGAGCTTATGAAATAAAGTTATCAGATAATCTGGTGGCACGTTTGCATATGTATATTATCAAATTGTGTTATTAGTTTGATATTTGCTATTCCAACTTTCAGGTTATTTTGACTGATTAAAAGTGAACATTTAAGAGAATTGGGATTCCTAAATTTTACAGGTTTTATTTTTAATTTTTTAAGGCAGATTTTACTCAAGGTTTAACTGGTATGTCTATTTTATAGAAGTTAATTTTTTTTATCCATTAAAGGAAAAAATATAAGATTGTCTTTAGTGTATTTTACACTTTTAAAAACTGATGGTCTGGTATGTGTGTGTTCAGTTTTTGTTTTGTTTTTTTGCTTGTATTTCACTCAGCAACAGAACATATACTGCATATATATATATATATATCTGTGATTTTTGAGCATGCAAATGCATTTTAAATTTGTTTTGTTAGTAGTAACACAAATTTCACAGTTTCACAAGTTTATAACTTAGGTTTATATGTAGTTACCTCTGAATAGGTGAATTTAACAGTCTGTAATAGTGAAAATGTTTTCTAGAAATATGTAAGTTATTTTAAAGGTAGGTAGCTATATGACTGGTATAGTAGTTTAAAAGTTAGTGTTTTATAATTGAATGTATTAAATGTTAAAAACATCCTTAAAATGAAATAGTATGGTATCAGGTGTTACATGAAGTTCTATAATAAAATTAAAAAACATCTTTAATTATGAATGTTTCGGAATTTTGTACTTAATTCTAACTATATAACTTGTATAGTCATTAATTACCTTAATACTAGTTTTGCCACAAATATTTTCTTTGTGCATCAGTATAATTATATACTGAATAAGGGTATGAAGAGGAATTCCATCATCAGTGTTAAAACGTCAAAATGTTAGTTTGCAATAGTCTAACTATATATAACATTAGCTCTCAAGCAAGTAGTTTTCGTATTCGATTGGAGGTTTAGAAAGAACAGAATTAAATGGTAACAATAAAGGAAATATATGATAGAACATGCAGCATACACATGTTTAATAACATTGTTAAGAGAAGACATTATAAAAAAAGTAAAAGTCCAGAGTACAGTATTTTTATTACAAGTTTTTACGCTGAGAAATAATATTTTTAAAACAGGTACGACATTTCCAACACTAATCACGATAGAATTTCCTTTATCGGCTCTTTGGGTGACAATGTATTTGTTGTTTCCAGGAGGTTTTGGTCCTTTTCATTCTGTTAATATAAAATTTTGTTTTATAGGCTTCTTATCATTTAGTTTTTGTTTTGTTTTGTTTTTTCACAAAATTCATCTACGAAGGTTTTTAATGGATCTGCTTTTGTTTGGTAGGGAAGTTGCTCATTAAATTGTTTTTGGAATTTTGTATATTTCTGGTGATTCTTCTTTGTTCTGTGATAAATTAGATGTGGATTCTTCATGAGGTCTTGGACTTCGGATCATTTTCTGTTGTTTGTATTTTACTTTCCTGCAAATGTTTTCAGGGCTAGTTTTAAATTAACACTTGGATGATGGGAGGAGTTACTGCGTAGTTAAGACCTTATTTATTGTTACGACAGCGGAAGTCACGTGACGCTGCTGGCGCGTTTGGCGCTGGTAGCATGCGTGAAATTTCTCAAATGATCATGAATTATCGGGTAAGCCCGAGTTTGTTCGAGACGCCATCTTTTTTAGTTGTATCGAGAAAGAATAAACTGGTTTAATCAAGAAAGGACTTGTATCGCTGAAGTTCCTCGGAAAGAATTTATATCGGAAATTATCAAACAAGCAGATACACAACAATATTGTTCTTTACAGTGTCAGGTTTTGTTAGATTGTGCTGACACACACACACACACAGTTTATCTGAACTTGAGAATGATTGCACCAGTGATCAAAACGTCCTGCCTGTTTTTCTAAATATTCTTCTTCGCTGTAAAATCTGTAACTTGTAATAAAATAATACTTATAATCAGTAAATACATTCAAAACAAAACTATCGGTTATAAAGAAAGGCTTAAATATAAGTATAGACACTGGTACTTTAAAATAATAATAAAATATTAAATAATGAGAATCTAGAATTTATTAAATTACCATAATGAAAAACAGGGTGGAGTTGATGTTATTATATGGTGTTAAGTTATCATTGAAAATTGAGTTTTTTAACCCATACACAAGGACTCGATTTTCCTTATATGGTGTGTTAAAGTCGTCACGAGAATGAGACTGACCATTTTGACAAGTTAACAAAGCAGATTCTCTTCATTCATTCTATTCCTAAGTACATCCATTGCGCATAAGTCATCAGGCTGTTAAATATAGAGATTCACACACAAATATAATTTGTCAAACCTCACTCCTTTCAAAGGTAAGGTTTAATAGTGCATTTGTGTCTTTTAAGAGGAAAATAGTGGGATAATCCTGTAACTTCGAGCTGCCCCTTCTCATTATATTCTGATGTTTATGTTTCAGAATATATTTACAATACCTAGGAATTAAAACAGGATAAAATACAAACATAGAAAGAGGTTACTGCTTATGTAGATGAGGGTAAACTTCTTACAAACCACAATCGCCTTTCTTGACCATTTTATTTATTCTGTGAACATCGTAGGACATCTGCTTATTGGGTATTTTATGAAATGCATAATTTTGCAACATAACTTCAATAATAAAATGTCAAACTTTAATTGTGTCGTATCAGATATTCTAATAGATGTTGCTTGGCAACATTGAAGTCGTCATGTATTAATATTTCTTCAGCTTCTCACTACAGTGATGAAGGATATAATAACTACCTTTGTTCTTAGCATTCTATCTTTATCTTGTCATTTTATATTTATGAGGTGACACTTGGCAAATTCTGATTGGTTATTCAATGTGTAATTTAACACAAATGGTAATTTTGCCACTTGTTATTTGTTAAATCGTCTAGAAACCTCGGGAAATATTTTTGTCCTGTATGGTAATATGTATGACATTCTGGAAACCTATAAAACACAGCCAGGAGTGACCTGTGGCATGATTAATTTATAAGGAAGGCACATTCATAAACGTTTTTGGCCAGATTGTGAATTATACATGTAAATGAGCCTCTGTACTAATAGTGAACTACTTTATTGATGTTGAAAAGCCCATTGAAGTAATATTATGTGATCAGAGTGCAGAGGACTACTTATACTACACTTAACACTTGATAATTGTGTACAGTACACAAACATATGTTGCTGGACATTACTCACATAGGCTTTTGTTCGAAACTCGTATACAACAATTTGGAAATTATTCAAGTCCTGGAAAAGCAAAGAGCATAAGAAGGTTTTATAAAGGACAATCCATTTGATTATTTATTAATATATGTAAATAATTATATTTGTGTTTTGTATCTGGTTTTAAGTATACCTATTAAATCAAGTTCCAGTGCCTTGTATTTGTTGGTGATTTTCACTTCACAGTGAAATACATCACATTAACTGTGGTCTCATTTGGGATTCTACCAAATTGTTCTTCCATATATATATAAAAGTTTGAAAATTGAAGACTCCTAACATAAAAGCACAAACTCGAGTAAGAATATAACAAACAGCTCACACGAGATAAAATAAGAGTTCTCCAGCATTAATTATCGAGAAGTCTCTCCAATTCCTTTTGAGCACCAGGCCTAATGAGAAAATACATGGATGCAAGACAGGTATATAAATCAAATAAATTAAAATACTTCAAAGAGGTACAGTATGGAGGCATAACTTTGCGATTCCTACCTTTGTCGGGTATTAAAGACTGTTTAATGTAGGTAGTATTAATTTATTATTTTATGTTTTTAATTCAATGATGTCGAGGTTATTGAATGTTGTGTTTGCAATCCATTGATATTGAAGCTATAGATATTTCTAGAAGACCTAAGTGATAGGAGTATAAATAACTGCGACCAGACAAGTGGAAGGAGAGTAAAAGTAAAACCAAGTGAAAGAGAAGTTCAGTCAGAGAAAAGTTAGAAAACGTGAAGTTAGCCATTGTGGAGTGAATAGCCTTAACGGTTGATATTTTAAAGTGAGATTAAGAGAAAAATAATAATTTTGTCTTAGCAAAGGGTGTTCTAAACTAATTGAAACCGCCTGTGTGGACTTTGATGAAAATAAAACAATTATTGGAAGTTCAGGATAAAACTGTGGTAACCCACGAGGCAGCATAAATGAATTATTCACTGATACCATTGTGATAAAAGTATAGAAAAATAGTTTGGCTTGTTAACTGGATTCTAAAGCAATTGAATTAGCCTAAGTGGACTTTTGACAAGAAGAAGATAACTGTATAGTGTTTAAGATACAAGTATGATATCCGTGGTCTAAAGAATTTTGTACATATATTTAATTTGTTTCGAATATATATATATATTATTTTTAACAACAAGTGGAATATGTGCTGTTCGTTTATTGTCGAATTTATCACCAATAAGTCAGACACCTACTGTAGAAGATTCCCTAGCCCAACACATCCGGGCCCGGCATGGCCAGGTGGTTAGGCTGCTCTACTCGCAATCTGCGGGTCGTGGGTTCGAATCCCCATTACATGCTCGCCCTTTCAGCCATGGGGCATTATAATGTGATGGTCAATCCCATTATTCGTTGGTGAAAGAGTAGCCCAAGAGTTGGCAATGGGTGGTGATGACTAGCTGCCTTCCCTCTAGTCTTACACTGCTAAATTAGGGACAGCTAGTGCAGATAGACCTCGTGTAGCTTTGCGCGAAATTGAAAACAAACAAACCCAACACATGCATATAGTTACATTACACTACATATATTACTAAAAAGTAAGTTCCGACAACCTTGTTATTTTTGTTTAGAATGTTTTACAAATATTCCTTTATTGTAAAGTTGTGCATTTTATGCATAACAAGTTGTCAAGAAAATCGTTAAGTTTTTTAGCTGCCTCTGTTCCTATGTAGATAACACCTGTTATGCTGAGGGTTGGTGTGGCTTTAAAGCTGCATCTTGTGCATGAAGGACGACAGCAGTATCTTTCAATGGTAGATCAGATGATATCTCGAGATTGCTAGCTACCTTGTATTTGAATGGGGATGGCAAATTATGTGAAGAATTAGTCATTATGTATAAATCCAATATTTCTCATGAAGTAATAAACTGTTGGATTGAGCATTCATATACTGGAATTTGAGTGGAATGATTAATGGGAATAACTCTCGAGGGATTTGTTTGTTTGTAATTAAGCACAAACCTACAGAATGGGCTATTTATTCTCTGCCCACCATGGATATCAAAACCTGGATTCAAGCATTGTTAGTCTGCAGACATACCACTGTGTTACTGGGGGACCTCTCGAGGGAAGAACGCCAGTTTAATTCACGAATCAAATGAAAGACGACTATCCAGCACGGGGGTGTTGATTAGCTCTAGTCTATCACTGTTAAATTAGAAATGGCTAATGAAGCTAGCATTCAAGTAGCTTTACCCAAAATTCAAAACAAACCAAACTTTCCTCAAACTCAGTTTTATCTAAGTACAATATCACCATACGATACATTCTGATAATCCTTTTATTATATAGTAGACTTACCCAATTTAAGAAGTCAGTTTTACCTGAAAATGACAGAATAGGTAGGAAGGAAAAATTTTGGTGCTATAACCCCTGGATATTATTGCAGAATTTTCTAATTTTTCTGTTAATGTGTGTGTGTATTGTCCTTACTTGAAGTTTTGTGTAATT